ATTTCATGCGTTCAAAACTAGCATTTTCTATTGGTATTTTTGACATATGCTCTCATAATGTCACTTTAATTACATGCAAATGTATCAGTATGATAAAGACAATTAGCAATTAAGTGAATTAAGATGATGTTTTGCCGTGATTGAAAATTGTGGATCAGTCAAAAATCTGGTGCTTACATAATTAAGAGCAGTCATTCTGTTCTGTTTATTCAGAGGCGAAGGATTCCAAAAAAACTCGAAACTGATATCATCAAGTGTTTTCCTCGAACAACAATTAGGTCTAAAGAAGCTGAAAGAGGGTCTGCGTAAACGATTTTTAGTTCGTTAGGGAGGATACTGACTTGCAACTAATTCTGAGATTTTGAAGTCCGCGCACGTAATCTCAGCTCGAGCCACAGCCGAGAGCTTGAAATAATAAGAATACAAATTACCGAGACACGATCGACTTCATGGAGTTTCGAGTAACAACAGGGAGGCGAATTGTCGGGGTGCCATCGGTAAAAAAAATCACGTTGGGGTTTTTGGACTGTACAGAGAAGTAACAAGCCAAGGAAATCACGGACTGAAATTGAGCGGGCTTTTATTACGGTAGCGTGCGTTCACCGCATAGTTCCAAGTACGCACGCTTTTCGGACCAATCACGTAAGAGAGATACACTTTACAAGACTTTTAATAGGCTACAAACAACCTCGTGTTGTCGAGCTTGCATTATTCAGGATGGAAAACGTATTTGAAATAGCTGTACGATAATTACAAAATGACAAAAAATGAGCGGAAGTGTTCCAAACATCGCTAAATCTTACTAGAACAGTGTGGTGATTAGGATGTTTTCCCTATTTTCAAGAGATCCCCGCGGGCGAAACTTCCGTTACGTTTTCCATAATATTATCAAAGTAACTTTTTATTCTAATCCAAGAAAAGTTTGAATAGAGTGTAMCATTTGAGCTTTGATTGAGTGTGAGTTTCGTCACATGAAAAAGGACCGGAAAAACGCTCAGTTTTTAGGACGGAGATACTTGATAGTAGTTTGTTAGAACAAAGAACCATCCATATATCATGGCAATATTGTTGACACAGACTAAATTATGATCGTTTTATTGAAGGATTTCAATACAATTTTCATGTCATKTGTTGTTAGGGTGATCRTGATTGATAGTTTTAGTGTAAAACTCGCTACACCATCTTACACAACGTGGAACAGCCACCTGCGCTCCAATTTACATAAGCGTTTGATAAACACCCGAAGAATACTGGGCTATAATTGAGGGATATAATATATACACTAGGATCGGGAATCCTACGGGTGACTTCTCAGAGAATAATTGCGAAGAGGACGGCCGTCATCGCCGATGGTTAATCCYGTCCAGCGCGATGCAGCTTTCGCTGAACGATTTCGACGTTTTGAATTAAGCAATCCCCGTCCGATGGCACAGCCTCCTTGGGCCAAAGAACCGACCATTTCAACTTCAAGCAAGARAAGGTACGCTTCATTTTTTTGAAATTGTTTTGTAAGATTGTTATACATTTATAATATGATAAAATATTTTCGCCGCCATGATTTAGTTAGTGCGAGGATAAGATTTTGTATTAATAGCAGATAAATTTTGCAGAAATTGCTTCTAGTATTCACTTTGTAATAAAATATATTCCGTATGTCGAAGTATCTTCAGACACAAGAAGTAACGGAAGTTTTCTAGAACCATTAAAAAGAGGAATTCCTAGATAGTAGAACAAATTGTCAAGTTATTGCTTTCTTCATAGCAACATGCCTATTATAAAATATCGCACATTCTTAAATTAAATGTACATAGATTTAAATTTCGAATTCGTCAGTTCTGGCGAGATTCAGAAGAATTGTTTTATTTATTTATTTTTACGCACGCAAAGTCACTCAAAAACGTTGGTCATTTTATTTGAGTTTCTCCCGTTGGTGTAGGCTTAGGCTAAAATTTAACTCAAAATTACTTATGTCGCCAAACTCTGGCAAATTATTTTGTATGCCTTAGGATTATGGATCATAGTTATGAAATGATAGTGCATAAGCAAAATTTCCTGCTGCTTTCGTATTTTACCGTGATATATCGGTGACATACTTTTGTTGAATGTACAGAAAGCGGAAAAGATTGTATGCTTCGATTCGTCAATGGAAAGTAATTTATTCTTACAGATTTAACACTAGCCAAGCTTATCAACCAGATTTCTTTTTGAATAAGTACACTGCAATATTTGTCCAGCGGAGAGATTCTATCAAGTTGAATTAAGATAAAGTTTCCATTGTTATTCATTCGCTCAATATCCCAGTAACTATAGAAACAAAAATGAAAGATTAGCGACAAATTTTCTCAAAGTACTGTTTCCTAGTTACTAAAAGTATTTAATCTGCTTCTATAGTATTCAAAAAAGCTTTGATATTAATCAATATAAAAATGAATTTTTAAGGTTAACGAAAAATGACATCTTATGTGCATGACTAGCCACCTGGAAGTATGGCTCTCTCTCGTTGTCTTGTTGTGTACATTAGCAACGAGTAGGCAATTTAAATATGCTTTTCTAGACGTCCAACAGTTCTGCCAGTCGGTAACTTGCATGATTTTCAGATGTGCGCTTTATACGCAATGACGTCAAGGCAAAATTGGAAAACTGAATTGCTGTCCAGCACAGAAGTCTTTAACCACAATTGTAATTCTGTTTAATTTTTCACTTTTAGTCCATAAAACTGATTGTATTGACTTAATTAAATTTTGCTTTTGCTTATCTATCTATCTGTTTGTTGACATTTAGCGATATTGTTTTTATTGACTCGTTCCAGTTCGGATGTAATTTACGGACTGATTGAAGGATTTACATGTCCAAGGGCAGCTTTTAAAAACAGAAAAAAAAAACTATATATACTAAAAGAAATACATGCTTCTACACTGAAACTCCAGATTTTTTTAATTTTGAAATGTAAAAACACGGGAACTAGATAATTATAATGTCGCTATGGCGCCCATGAAGAAGCAAACCTGGTCGACTTTGATTACTCACTTCGTTGTTCATGAGTTTACATTAACTAGCATTTCCACTTTTTAAGTTAAACAATTTAAGCTAATTTTGACTTTGGAGAATTTAAAATGACTCAAAAAATGTCAACTGCTTGAAAACGCGAACCTTTCTATGTAAATATATAATATGGTTTTTGAAATTAAAAGGTTGCTAAAAGTTACCGATGAAGCTTATTGCGCCGCGAGTGATTCTCCCTTTCTTTATCATTCTTCACGAAATCTTTGCAAAGTTTTCAAATCAAASTACATAGAACGAAAAACCGAACAGATTTTTTTCGAATAGTAGTCATAAATCATATTTCCAAACATTTAAAGTACTTTAGAAGGTCCTTCCGAAGTTATGATCGCCATGAATCACCTTCACGAAGTTCAATGTTGGGAGTAGATAGATTTAAGTGTTTTTACCACCGATTTCAGTAGAGCTAAAACCAAAATCAAATTGATACTATAAAAAGATAATCAAACGTTTTAAAAAAATTTTGTTACTTTTTGCATGGATAATAAAAAACAATAGTTAGTGGTTTTTTTTTCATATGCTTTTTTTCGCAACTATTCCTCCCAGCCAACTCTACCATTGATCAGAGAGATCACTTCTACACTCTCGACCAATCAAATTTGTTCTTCACCAAACAAAATGGCGGGCACTTCGGTTTACGCATATTGGAAAACAAACTTCTGTTTTGACTCTTAAATTGGCTAATTTTACCTCAAAAGAATCAATTGTTCTACTCAAAACTAAATGCTGTCATGAAATACATGGATTCTAATCACTAATGGAGCTAAGGTAAGCTGTTTTKGCTCGCTTCCTGTGGTTCTCGTAAGTTTTGTTTCAATCCGTCTCCATGGAGCTTTCGTGAACTTTGTAGAAATTTGAATATTCCGGGCGCTTTTCTTAACTAAAATATCTGTTAAATTAAACTAACAACTTTTAATACACATCTGGATATTTTTACTCAAAAACCAGAAAGTTATTTTGAGTTTGAGCAGGATAAGTATGTGTGAAATTAAGCTTAATTTCTCGTCATGTTTGATTAAAAATTTATAATCTTTGCTATTTTTGACAGCTCTCTAAACCCCTATGTTAATTTAGTTTGCACGCGAATTACTTGGGGTTGAATATTTTCAAGAGTTTAGTCAATGGTTCGATGTTTTATGATGCAAATTTAACTACAACTCACTCACAGACAGAGCGAGTCTCACTTGAGTATAATTCTTCATTGGTAACAGCTAAATTGAATTAGAGAGCCAAGGCTGTTTCAATAAACTATATCAACAGATAGCCTCACATATGAATTAAATATCAGGGAATACCTGTCCAGCAGTGAAATGTCGACAGCAATTAATGTTAGCAATGAAAATATAATTCAAAATTCATAAATATATATAAAAAGGAAAATCATAAATATATATAAAAAGGAAAAGAGAAAAGAAAAAAAAGAATATCAAAAAGAATAAAAGAAAGAAAAGAAAAGAAAGAAAGAACTAAATAATGCAGAAAAAAGGTCATGATTTTTAATGTTTTCACCTCTAGAACTTAAAAGTCCAGTCCAGGGGCCTGCTGGGGTGGCATGTGATGGTTGAACAGCACTTTCCACACCAGATAAATCATTACCCAGCAGATAAAATCCATTCAAAATTAGGGCAGATTATTAAGTGGCAAGGGTGCTGGCTGATCCCCATTTTGCTGAACAAAAATTCTGAACAAAAAAAACACTTTAGATCTTGATCTTTCAATGATATATATGATATCATTAATCATATTCGTTTTTAGGTCAAACAATCCTCCATCAAACATACCAGCATTGCCAGACATAATGGACAGAGGAACAAAGAATCCAACTCCACCAGGATCTGGTGATGGCACAAGACTAAARAAACTCGAAGGCAGGATAAGTTTGAGTGAACAATCAAACAGAGCACTGTTAGAAGAGATYGTGAGACTACAAGGAGAACTCAAAACAAGTGTACGACGTAAYGAAGACACTTTRCGTGATGAAAAGGAACAAAGACATYTACTATCAGAGAAAATACGAGCAGCAAATACGCTTTATACTCAGCTAATGATGCGGTTAGCAAGAACGGAGGAAAGACTGGATTCWGAGCATACAGCTGTAGGGTCGTTAGTCAACCACACAAAACATGTTGAACAAACAYTAATGGGYAATCAACAACAATTGTTGAGCCGAAGGGAACAGGTTCATGTTAGACTAGAAAGATTAAAAGAAGATTTGGAGGATTTGCAAGATACTTATGAGCAAGTGCAAAAGAATATGCGGGTCATGAATGACGATGTACGGAATACAAAGAGTAAGCTTGAAGTGCAGACAGTACAGTTTGGGACAATGGTGCAGGAGTTACGGCAGAGGATGAAAAAAATTGAAAATGACTCACAGTCTGCTGTAAGTTGAAATCATGATAAAATGGTAGACTAGTACCCAGTGGATCACAATAGTCGTGATATGAGCAAAGCATGGGTACTAGGTTGATGACTTAATAGAGATTTGTTCCTGTAATTGCTGAATGGCTGCTGAGGTGTCCATTATATAAAATGAGGTTTCTAATATTGAAAACGTTATATAATGGCTGATGCTGTAGCATTTTCATTAGTGCAAATCATACTATAGACAGGATCCTGTAAGATCGATCCTACATGTACTTAATGTAGAGGTAGTGAGTGTGAGAGTACAGGGTCCGCAGTAATTGGCTCACGCTGTTGCGGTGTCCCTGCCCCTACTAGGGGCAAAGCTAATAAATTTAAATTTAAACATGTATTTAAGCTCCTACAAGATCCTACAGGATCCTGTCTCTAAAGGATTTGCACCAGAAAAAAGAAACACCCCACTCAGATGATAAATATCAAAGCTAAATATAAGTTCTGAAAGTTTCACAGAAAAATAAGTTGTTAAGGGTAATAAGAAGAGGCACAGAAACACCAAAACAAGGCTACCAAGGCTTTAACAAAGAATTCCATGCAAAATCCTTGACAAAGTATTTTTATTCCTCTACAGCTTTGTTAGTATTTAGTCCATTAAGATTCAAAATTTTCCACAAATGCCTATTTCTGATGGTTCTTCCATATGATGTAGTGCTGGTAGACACTTGTGTATGCAAGTTGTGGTCTGTAGGCTAAGGTGTCCGTAATATACATGTAGAGATGTCTGTGGTTCAGAGGTATTTGTAATTTAGAGGTGTCTACTAGGTAGGGGACAAACAATAAGTGTCTGTAATATGAAGTGTCTATCAGAAGAAATAGGTGTCAGTGACCTGAGGAATGTTTATTCTCTCTAGATGGATTACTTGAGGAAAGAAACAGACACTAGAGGAGTCATGGAAATGAGTACTGCACAGTTTAAGAACACCATGGAACTAAGGTATTCCTGTTAATTATAATGGTTTTATTACTGTAGGGAAATTTCATTTTATTCAAAATATTAAATTGTACTATTTCCAATATTTTTTTTAATATTGTATCCAAAATTCCATTAGATGTTCACTCAAATTAGTTTTTGACCCACCATCAGTCATTCTGTAGTTTCAGGTATTTAATGTTATTACAGCAATAATAATTTAAATGAGTATCAATAAAGATCCATCCATTAATAAATGGGAATAACAC